TTTTGGCTGCACTGAACAGCTTATGGGATCTTAGTTACCCAACCAGGGACTGAACCCGGGTCCTCAGCAGTGAAAGCATGGAGTTCTAGCTACTGAACCACCAGGGAATTCCCTGTTTCAGCATTTTTTTAAGCAGTAAAGCATTTTTTTAAAGATATTTTTGATGTGAACCATTTTTAAAGTCTTTATTGAATTTGTTACAATATTGCTTCTGTTTTATGTTTTGGTTTTTTGGCCGCAAGGCATGAGGGATCCCAGCTCCCCAACCAGGAATCGAACCTACACCCCCTGCATTGGAAGGTAAAGTCCTAACCACTGGACTGCCAGGGAAGTCCCAGCGGCTCTTATTTTTTTTTTTTTTTTTTTTTCAGTACGCGGGCCTCTCACCGCTGGGGCCTCTCCCGCTGCGGAGCACAGGCTCCGGACGCGCAGGCCCAGTGTCCATGGCTAACGGGCCCAGCCACTCCGCGGCATGTGGGATCCTCCCAGACTGGGGCACGAACCCGTGTCCCCTGCATCGGCAGGTGGACTCTCAGCCACTGCACCACCAGGGAAGCCCCAATAAAGCATTTTTTATACCTTAATTTAAATTCCTTTTCTACTCGGGGTCTAGACCACCAGAAAATATGAATGTTTTCGCTAACAGGGTGAAATCCCAGTTCCTCCAGAACGTACTGCACTTAATCAAGGCACAGCATCTCTAGACCTCAGAATCCACCTAACTAAAACAAGGAGGGTTGTTCTGTGATGATCTCATGGTCTTGTCCAGTACGAAAATTTTATAACTGTGTGATATATGTAAACTCCATAAAATGAGTGTTAATATTTTCATATGTAGCAGAATGGGGAGCAGGCAGATTCGGTTCATCACACAGCACTTCTCAAGGCGCAATCATTTGCATACCACCTCCTCAATTTTTACCGTTTCTGGGTACCACCTCTACTATGATTACTTAACAGCTTTCTTTGAATCAACTTACTTATTACACTTTAATAATTTATTTTAAAAGGAAACTTTATATCAGCATAAATGCAAAACTGTTGTCTTTTGTCATAAAAATATATTTAAACATAGATATTTTACCAGTTATGTTTATTCTTAAATACATAGTATTTTCTTTTTTTTTTTTTTTTTTTTTTTTTTTTTTTTTTTTTTTTTGGGGGC